GCGTAGGATGCTGGGGCGTCCAGATGCTGTAGGGTGAAGTGGAGGGCCATGTTAACTGCATCGTCCACAGACCTGTTGGCTCTGTAGGCAAACTGAAGGGGGTCCAGGAGAGGGTCTGTGATGGCTTTGAGGTGTGCCAGGACCAGGCGCTCAAAAGACTTCATTACCACAGATGTAAGGGCGACCGGTCTGTAATCATTTAGTCCTGTTGGCCTTAGCTTTTTGGGCACAGGGATGATGGTGGAGGACTTGAGACAGGCTGGTACATGGCATGTCTCCAGGGAGGTGTTAAAGATGTTGGTGAACACCGGAGACAGCTGGTCAGCGCAGTGCCTGAGGGTGGCTGGAGAGACAGAGTCCGGCCCGGCTGCTTTGCGTGGATTCTGCCTCTTGAAAAGTCTATTAACTTCTCCCTCCTGAAAGGAGATAGTCGTCTCTGTAGTATTGGTGGGGGATGGGGCCTCTTGGGTTGGAAGGGGTGGTTCAGGACAGTCCAATTGTCTTTCAAATCTACAGTAGAACTCGTTCAGGTCGTTGGCTAGGCGGGAGTCGTTAGTGGTGTGGGGGGCTCTGGGTTTGTAGTTGGTGATCTGCCTGAGCCCTCTCCAGACAGAAGCAGCGTCGTTTGTAGAGAACTGGTGTTTTAGTCTCTCTGAGTACAGTCGTTTAGCCTCTCTCACCGCTTTGCTAAACCTGTTCTTCGACTCCTTGAATCTGTCTCTATCTCCACTCCTAAACGCTTCCTCCTTCTCCAACCTCAACCTTCTGAGCTTTGCTGAGAACCAGGGCTTATTGTTGTTAAAGTTCACCCTGGTACGTGTTGGGATACAGCAGTCCTCACAGAAGCTGATGTAGGACGTCACAGCCTCTGTGAGTTCATCTAGACTATTGGTAGCAGTCGTGAACATATCCCAGTCAGTACAGTCTAAGCACGCCCGCAAATCTTCCACAGCCTCACTGGTCCACTGTTTAGATGTCCTCACAGCAGGTTTACAGAGTTTTAGTTTCTGCCTGTATGCAGGAATCAGGTGGACCATGGCATGGTCAGAGTGTCCTAGTGCTGCTCGGGGGACGGCGTGGTAGGCTCTACTGACTGTAGTGTAACAGTGATCCAGAGTGTTCCCTTCTCTGGTTGGGCATTTAATGAATTGTATGTATTTGGGGAGTTCGTGGCTGAGATTACCTTTGTTAAAGTCGCCAAGTACGATAACCAACGAATCTGGATTTGCTCGCTCCACACTCAGAATCTGATCGGCGAGCATGCGTTGGGCCTCTTTAACCTGAGGACAAGGCGGCAAATAAACTCCGACCAAAATGAGCGACGCGAACTCGCGAGGCGAGTAAAACGGTTTACAGGTTATAAAAATTGATTCAAGGAGTGGAGAACAATGTTGCAGAATCACTGTGACATCTACACACCAGCCACTGTTAATGTAAAAACAAATACCACCGCCTTTCGTCTTGCCGGAGAGTGCTATGTCACGATCCGATCTTACAAGATGGAATCCTGCTAGTTGTAGCGAAGTGTCCGGAATCAAATCACACAGCCATGTTTCCGTGAAGCACAATGCAGAAGCTGAAAGAAAGTCTTTGTTTTTTACCATCAGTAGCTGAAGTTCATCCATTTTGTTGTACAGTGAACGTACGTTGGAGAGGAAAAAGCTCGGAAGCACTGTTCGGATCCCGCGTCTGCGTAGCCGTACTAGAGCCCCCGACCGTTTACCCCTTGGGCGGCGTTTCGTTGCTTGAGCAAAGCCTAGCGCGGCATTGAATAGAATGCCTACTAATTCTGCCGCTGGAAGCAGAAAAGTAGGAATTAAATCCACAGGAGTTGTTTCCCTGATATTTAAAAGTTCGTCTCTTGTTAGAGAACTCCGAAAATCTTGGCAAAACACTGAATTGACAGACAAAACAAGACAAAACAGGGCGCACCGACCGGCTGAGGCTACCATCATCAGCGCCATCTTCGCACCAGCACGGGTGTGCTGAACAGCAGGACTCCCTCACCAGCACTGGTGTGTTGAACAGTAGGCCCCTCTCACCAGCATGGGAGTGGTGAACAGCAGGCCCCTCTCACCAACACGGGTGTGATGAACAGTAGGCCTCTCTCACCAGCATGGAAGTGAACAGCAGGCCCCTCTCACCAACACGGGGGTGATGAACAGCACGCCCCTCACACCAGCACGGGTGTGATGAATAGTAGGCCTCTCTCACCAGCACGGGTGTGATGAACAGCAGGCCCCTCTCACCAGCATGGGTGTGTTGAACAGCAGGCCCCTCTCACCAGCACGGGTGTGTTGAACAGCAGGCCCCTCTCACCAGCACGGGTGTGTTGAACAGCAGGCCCCTCTCACCAGCACGGGTGTGCTGAACAGTAGGCCCCTCTCACCAGCACGGGTCTGTTGAACAGCAGGCCCCTCTCACCAGCACGGGTGTGCTGAACAGTAGGCCCCTCAACACGGGTGTGCTGAACAGCAGGCCTCTCTCACCAACACGGGTGTGCTGAACAGTAGGCCCCTCAACAGCAGGCCCCTCTCACCAGCACGGGTGTGCTGAACAGCAGGCCCCTCAACACGGGTGTGCTGAACAGCAGGCCTCTCTCACCAGCACCGGTGTGCTGAACAGCAGGCCCCTCTCACCAACACGACTATACAATCCGCAAAGCTATCACTCAAACCATGAAGAAGGACACTCTTGAGGAGCCTTTCAAAACCATCACTTTAC